ACCGTGTTCGCCAGGATGGTCTCGATCTCCTGACCTTGTGATCCGCCCGCCTCGGCCTCCCAAAGTGCTGGGATTACAGGCGTGAGCCACCGCGCTTGGCCTCTCCATATACATTTTTAAATAATCAGGTCATATAAAACAAATCAAGTGCATTGACTGCATAAACTGAAATCTTGTCACATTTCAACTAATGATGGAAACCTTGCAACTCAGGAGGACAAAAAAGAAGACAATGGGAAGGAGAGAAAAGAAGAAAGAGAGGGGAAAAAATAAAAGACAAGGTCTGAGAATTAGAGGAAGTTTAGTTTAATGGTAAGAGCTTGGGTTTGATTATCTGTTCTTTAGTCTGCTGGTTACATTAACCAGAACATTGGGAATATTAATTTCTGCAAGGTCTTAGTATCATGAAAATGGGATAACTTTGATTGTCTGACAGTATAATTGCTGTCTATCTCCCCAACTAGACTATAAGGACCACGAGGGCAGAGGCTAAGTCCGGTTTTGCTCACTCGTTTTTGTCTTCTCTGACATGATGAGTGAGACAGTTGGCTCAAGCAAAAAAAATAATTTTTAAAAGAAGAGACAGTAACCATTCCATTTTAACTTAACTATACTCATTCATAAATCTTTTCTTTGGGTTTTTCATTGAGCATAGGTCCACTAATGAAAGTGCTGGGACATCTTTCTTGTATAAACAGTATCCATATTACATGATAGACAGTTTCTACTTGTCAGTTATAAAGAGAACCTAAAGTCACTTATGAAGCAAACTGAGTACAAAGTATCTTTAGACTTCTATGACTTTCCCCAAAAAAGTTTAGATTCCACTGCACCAGACGTGATAGTAATTGTCTACAACTCAATTTTTTCTTTCTTTCTTTCTTTCTTTCTTTCCTTCCTTCCTTCCTTCCTTCTTTCCTTCTTTCTTTCTTTCTTTCTTTCTTTCTTTCTTTCTCTTTCTTTCTTTCTTTCTTTCTTTCTTTCTTTCTTTCTTTCTTTCTTTCTTTCTTTTCTTTCGTCCTTCCGTCCTTCCTTCCTTCCTTCCTTCCTTCCTTCCTTCCTTCCTTCCTTCTTCTTCTTCTTCTTCTTTTTTTTGTATGTTTTCTAGGCTGGTCTCAAACTTCTGGCCTTGAGCAGTGCTCCTGCCTCAGCCTCCCAAAGTGCTGGAATTACAGGCATGAGCCACCATGCTTGGCCCTACAACTCAATGTTGAGTCTTTCTAAAGCATTCAACTTAATTTTCATAAAAGTAACTTTCATTTCACATATATATTTCCTAAGTTTATAAAATATAAGCGCAATTAAATTTTGCAATTACAGTAACAAGTACATCTGACATTAATAGATTTGAATTTAAAAACACTACCCTTGGTAATGATACACTGAATCATGGGAGTAGAAAAGTACAGGTGTCCTCAAGAGTAGCCATTTGGTCACAAACCTACTGCACACATGTGAATAAGTACGTTTTAGAGCAATGGTCTCCAACCATTTTGGCACCAGGGACCGGTTTCATGGAAGACAATTTTTCCATGGACCAGGGGGGTTGGTCTTGAGATGATCAAGTGCATTACATTTATTATGCACTTTATTTCTAATATTATTACAGACTGGTACTGGTCTGTGGCCTAGGAGTTGGAGATCCCTGTTTTAGAGAGAAGGAAGAGCATCAGATAACTTGGAGAGTTCATTACAAGACCTACTGTATTGAATCCTCAGCATTTACCACATTGCCTAACACAAAGGAAGAAATCAATAAATATTTGTCAAGTCAATAATATCTACCACTCAAGGCTGCTGCAAGACCTGAATGAGCAGACAGCCATACAAGCTCATTTGGACACTGGCATTTAGTAAATGTTAATGCCTTTCCCTTTCTCACTGTTCAAGACATTTTATTTATTTGTAACCTATCTAATTCAAAAGAATTTGAAAGGTGAAAAATGTTTACTAAAGTTGTTGCTTGTTTATGTATTCATTCAAAAGAAGGAGTTCTGAGCTAGTCAGTTTTCCAGGTACAAAAGAGACAAAAGTGAAGACAGGGCCCTGGACTACACCCTGCCTATCACCCAAATAAGAACTTAGCAACAAAATCCTGCAACAGGAAAGGAATTATATGAAGAGAAGTCCGGATAGCTGGCAAATCTTTCCTCAATTTAATTTGCATTAAAAATAAAAGAGGGGGCTGGGCGCAGTGTTTGACATTCATAATCCCGGCACTTTTGGGAGGCCAAGCAGCAGGATCGATTGAGACCAGGAGTTCAAGACCAGACTCGGCAACATAGTGAGATCCTCATCTCTACAACACATATATATTTAAAAATTAACTAGGCGTGGTAGTATGCACCTATATAGTCCTAGCTACTCGGGAGACTGAGGCTGAAGGATCCCCTGAGCCCAGGAGTTTGAGGCTGAAATGAGCTATGATCACACCACCACACTTCAGCCTGAGCAACAGAGCAAGATCCTGTCTCGAAAACAAACAAACAAACAAAGAGACTCTGCAGTATAAACGTTTTGACAGAACTAATAAAGAATGTGCCTCTGTCTGGCCGGGCGTGGTAGCTCACGTCTGTAATCCCAGCACTTTAGGAGGCTGAGGTGGGTGGATCATCAGGTCAGGAGTTTGGGACGAGCCTGCCCAATATCATGAAACCCCATCTCTACTAAAATTACAAAAAAATTAGCCAGGCATGGTGGTGCGTGCCTGTAATTCCAGCTATTCAGGAGGCTGAGGCAGGAGAATCGCCTGAACCTGAGAGGCAGAGGTGGCAGTGAGCCGAGATTACACCACTGTACTCCAGCCTGGGCGACAGAGCGAGACTCCATCTAAAAAAAAAAAAAAAAAGAATGTGCCTCTGTCTTAAAATAATACATTCCTCTCTAATATGCAAAATAGGACACGTATGAGAAAATATTTGCCAATCAAGTACATTTTATAGCTGATCTAAAGTGCTTATAATCATACCAAAGAATAGAACCTCTCATCATTGGCATAGGCTTTTTCAAGTAAGAAAGGATAAGATGGACTTTGATTTTTAATTTTAATTCTTGCAATGTCACAGAGTAAAGGTCATTTTGCCCAATCGTCCCATGTAATAAGGCATATTGCCATATGTAGAACATACAGCTAACTGAGATTCCACTTTGGTTTCTGAGATTTAACCCTGTTGTAATATTGGCTATGTGAACCTGAGAAATGAAAAACTGTGATGTCCTTTTGGAAATGGGGAAAAGTTGCCCAGGGCAAACAAGCACGAATATCTGATTATATTCTGCCCCCTGGTTCCTAGCGATGCCTCTTATGATTGTCTTTCAGATATATGATTTGTAGTGGCAATATAATTGAGGTATGGAGACTGATAGGTCCTGCCTACATGTGATATTTTGTAGCTAACATTTGAATAAATATACTTACTGCTGATTAAACTTCATTACTGAAGTTCAATCTGCATCAACCATGTCAACTAGTGGCAGGGTAAACAAGGAAACCGAAGCTTGCACAATAACCCTAGAAAAAATGTTAAAACACATATGAGAATTTCACAACTAGGAGGCACAGCTTTTGTTAAAAAAGAATAAAATGAAAGTTGACATTTGATTTGCAAGAAGATAAGAAGAAATGATATACTATAAAAGTAAAGCTATATTAGACATATACTTCTATCCTCCCAAATATTATATATCTGTGAATATATAATTCTCTTTTAAAAATGTAATAACTGCTTTCACTTGGGAATTTTAAAAATGATTTTTATGCTTCTTCCTCATTCCAAATGACTAAACTCATTTAATCTGCTTAAATTATTAATAGATTCTAAAGGACAGGACATGCCGGGGAAATTAATCACACAGACATCTTTCTCTTGATATCAGAAATAGGATACATTACGAACTGAGAAAGGGCATATAGCATTTTAATTATGATAGAAGAATAAAAATGAGGGGGATGGCTTAAGTGAAAAAAAGCAAACAAAAATTTTCATTCTAAAAATTATTATAAAATATCATTTTACATACTATACAGCTAGGGCCACCCTTACAGACTTACAGAATAGTTATCTATGTAGGGTTCTAATGTCTTGAAGTTTCACAGGGATTCAGTCATTTGAGTCAATTAAAACAGTCTCCACTACCAGTTTGTTCAAAATGCAAATACGCCTTCATGAAAATTTTCTCAAGTTGTTCCAGCAGGGACCTGAATAGAATTTATAATTCATTCAACCAAAATGAGTGGCTCACGCCTGTAATCCTACACTGGGAGGCTGAGGCGGGTGGATCACTTGAGGTCAGGAGTTCAAGACCAGACTGGCCAACATGGTGAAACCCTGTCTCTACTAAAAATGCAAAAATTAGCCAGGCATGGTGGCTGGCGCCTGTAGTCCCAGCTACTCGGGAGGCTGAGGCAAAAACAAAAAACAAA